CTTTTTGCTTCAAATCCAGGGTGGGCTTTTAAACACATTTTTTAAGCCAAATGGTTTTTGCGAGAATCTGCTTACCCGGACTTTTCGCATAAAAAACGACAAATACCCGAAAAATGCTCATGTTGTTGGTGGTGGTGGCATGTTTCCGATAAATTCAGCTCAATGTCTCGTGAAGAAGAGTTCAGATCCGTGCCGCGCGCCTCTCGAGGCAAGCGTTTCGTCGAAATGCGAGCCCAACAACAGGTGGTAAGCGGTCAATCTGTGAAAAGTAACGCAATCTCCGTCATTTGAGAGCAGCCGAAGATGCTCTTGCCGATGCTGTCCTTGATGGTTTTTATTTCCAGTATCTAGGAAACCCATGCTAAGGTATGAAACATACACTCGTAGGCATTGTTCTGTCCGCTAAAGTCTAATTCCTGGACGCAGAAACGTTGTGCTTTTTGAAGTTTATTATTGTGCTTTGCCCTTTGACAACCTTACGTGACTCGTGCGTTTGGTAGCAGAAGATGGCTAAACTCTGCTTTTCTTGTTGGAAAACGGCTTTAAATTTTATCAGATCGCTCGATAAACACGTGTTGGTTTCTGATAGCTGATAACGTTAAATCGCTGTTTCTCAAACTGATTTCTTATTGCATTTTTCTGAGTTTTTAGCATCGACCCGCTGAGTCTGGAAAGCTCAAATTTCAGAAAAGTACTACTAGTATTTTTTGGCCTCAAACATTTTCTTTTAAGTTGCCCGTAGTTTTGAAAACAGATTTTGAAAGAAGAGATAACGCTCTTTAACGTGGTATAAGACTCATTACTGAAATCGAGGTACCAGTCGACGATTTTGGGCTTTGAAATTTGCCATTTTTTCATTGAACAAAAACGTTCAAAATATTGAAAATAATGAAAAATCTCCAAAATATTACACTTTCGTTCAAACTGAGTAAATCACCACTCAGAATGTGTGCAATTATGTACTCTTCTGAATAAGTTATTTGCTGTCCGCATTACATTAGATTTGAATTTTAAAACGATTTTTTTGCGACACATGGTCTCGGGCCAGGAAAACCCGGTCCGAGAGCCGCGAAACCAATAACCCCCCCGTACGTGGAAAATAATTATCGGATCGAAGTAAAAATTACATTTATGTTAATAGCTTACCTAGTGCTACTTTGTGAATTTTTTTGAGAATTTTCGATTTTTCACTTTTGTAGACCTCTGGTCGATATTTACTGACATACGCTCTTAAATTGTTAATTTTGGCTTTTCCAAACATTGGAATTCTAGATTTTGGCGTTTCCAAACATTAAAATTCAAAATTTTGGCTATTTAAATCATTGAAATTCTCTAGTTTGGGCCTTTCTAAACATTGGTATTGTGACGTTTGGCTATTACAAACATTGGAATTCCTTTATTTTTTACTTCTCCAAACACTAGAATTCTTTATTATTCGCTTTTCCAATCATTGGAATAGTGAATTTTGGCTTTTCCAAACATTGGAATTTGGAATTTTGGCTCAGCAAAACATTGCAATTCTGCACTTTTCCTTTTCCAAACTTTGGAATTGTGAATTTTGGCTTTTCCAAACATTAGAATTCTGAACTTTGCCTTTTCCAAACAATGGAATTAGGAATTTTCGCTATTCCAAACATTGGAATTCCATATTTTTGGCTTTTCCAAGCACTGGAATTGCGAATTTTGGCTATTGCAAACACTGGAATGCCTTAATTTTTGGCTTTTCAAACATTGGAATTGTGAATTTTGGCTTTTCCAAACATTAGAATTCGTAATTTTGGCATTTCCAAACAATAGAAATAGGAATTTTGCCTATTCCAGTCATTGGAATTCTTTATTTTTGGGTTTTCCAAAGATTGGAATTGTGAATTTTGGCTTTTCCAAACATTGGAATTCTAGATTTTGGCGTTTCGAAGCATTGGAATTCTAAATTTTGGCGTTCCCAAATATTGAAATTGCGAATTTTGGCTACTCTAAACATTGGAATAGGGCACTTGCACGATGACGTCATTTTACTACAACTACCAGAATCCTTGAGTTTGTTGTTTTCTTGTGCAAATTAAGGCTATTGTTCTTTAATCCTCACTGGGATTGACAAATTTAAATAACAAAGCAAAACCGAAATGAATTCTGGTAGTTGTAGTCAAATATCGTCATCGTGCAATTGTCCTATTCTCTAGTTTGGGCTTTTCTAAACATTGGAATTGTGAAGTTTGGCTTTTCCAAACATTTGAATTCTTTATTATTGGCTTTTCCAAACCTTGGAATTCTGGACTTTTCCTTTTCCAAACATCGGAAATGTGACTTCTCCAAACATTGGAATTGCAAATTTTATCTATTCCAAACATTTGAATTCTTTATTATTGGCTTTTCCAAACACCGGAATAGTGAATTTTGGCTTTTCCAAACATTGGAATTAGGAATTTTGGCAATTCCAAAAATTGGAATTCTGGACTTTTGCTTTTTCCAAACATTGGAATTGTTAATTTTGGCTTTTCCAAACAATGAAATTCTGAATTTTGGCTTTTTCAAACATTGGAAATGCGAATTTTGGCTATTCCAAACATTGAAATTCTCTAGTTTGGGCTTTTCTGAACATTGGTATGGTGAAGTTTGGCTATTACAAACATTGGAATTCCTTTATTTTTGGCTTTTCCAATTATTGGGTTTTCCAAACATTGAAATTAGGAATTTTGGCTCAGCAAAACATTGCAATTCTGCACTTTTCCTTTTCTAAACAATGGAATTGTGAATTTTGGCTTTTCCAAACATTGGAATTGCGAAATTTCGCTATTCCAAACATTGGATTTCTTTATTTTTGCCTTTTTCAAACATTGGAGTAGTGAATTTTGGCGTTTTCAAACATTGGAATTGTAAATTTTGGCTATTCCAAACATTGGAATTGCGAATTTTGGCTATTCCAAGCACCGGAATTGTGAATTTTGGCTTTTCCAAACATTGGAATTCTTTATGTTGGCTTTTCCAAATATTGAAAAACTGGATTTTGGGTCTTCGAAACCTCAATTTTGGCTTTTCCAAACATTGTAATTGAATTCTGAATTTTTGCCTTTTTCAGACATTGGAAATCTTAAGTTTCGTTTTTTCAAACATTGGAATTCTTGATTTTGGCTTTTTTAAACATTGGAAATCTTCATTTTGGCTTTTTTGAACAGAGGAATTCTGGATTTTTACCTTTGTTAACATTTTTCTTTCCCAAAAGAGGTTCAGCCTTGCGATTTCGGGCCAAAACAGCTTTTACAAAAACGGCGTTTGCACGGTCTGAGATGTTAAAGTTTGCGATGTGTGTCCTTTTTATTTCTTAACAGGAAGCTTTTTGCTCTCATCTTGGATAGCAAACTTAGACCCAATAAGGCTATTTGCTGATCGGAAAACGCCCAAGCTGAGGGATTAAACATATCAGAGTGTCTCGGTTCTGCGCAAAGAAAGGGAAGATATTTCTATTATCAACGTTAAGATATAGCGAGAAAGAAGAGCTTCACCAGACACCGTAATGAGAAGAAAACAACAGTTAAAGAGGAGATTTTAGCTTTTGCTGCATTGTCTTGAGATAACATGAAATACTTCTTTAAAACTTTAAGACGGAATCCATCGGGAAATTGAGTAATTTTAATTTTCAGTGTACAAAAATCTTGCATCAGAATAATTTAAAGAATAGTGCATTCTTTTTTTACATTTTTCAAGGGCCAAAGATGTAATAAATCATCTCTAGTAACACCAAGAAAATTTCTCATGGAAGTCCGGGAAAATAAATGTCAAATTTCACAAGAATTGTGATTGTACAGGTAAAATTCTAAAAATTTCATGTGTAAGATGTAATTTTGTGAAATTTGACATTCATTTCCTTAGGCTCCCATAAGAAATTTTTTGGTGTTACTACAGATGATTTATTACATCTCAAGCTCTTGAAAAATGTTAGAAAGCACGTAATATGCTTCAAATTATTCTAGTACAAGATTTTTGTCCACTGAAAATCAAAATTACTCAATGTCCTGGTGAATTCCGTCTTAATATCTTGTGAACGTACGAAGAGGGTAAAGCAAAGATATCTGGCGCCAATTCGAGGGTTCTTCACAGCTTCCGTGATACTGGCGGATCTCCACTCAATAAAGTACTCCTCTTTCTTAGTTTTCAAGAAGCTCTATCGAGAATTGGAGCCAAAGTGAGCAAAATTAAGGGTCCGGAAATTAACGCTTTCTAACCTTTGATAACTTGTTTTCCCACTTCGACATTCTCTCCAAAACTCGTAGTGGAGTGACGACGGCTACCACGTTTTCCCGCCAAAATGACGCTGGTTCACGCGCAAGCCCTACTTAGTACTGAGAAAATCTCTTACTCGTTGTCTCGCACTCGTCTTAGAATCTAAAGGTCTCTAATAACTAGTAAGACGAAACAAGAATATTCCAGAATTTCCTACATCCAAAATATTTTCGTGTATGGAGGTGCCTTAGTTTTGCATAGTATCAGACTGTCCAGAAAAAATAATGAGATCTCAACATTAGCTCTTACAAACTACTAATTAAAACGACTGGGGAAAACACACACATTTACGTAACAGATATGGTACCAAAATGTTTGTATATAACAATGAGCGCACAGTTAAAAGCTTAGTTATCGTGGTAAGCTGCCTGGTAATCCCATTCTCCTTATGGGCTTTATTAGCTCTTGATCCATTTTCGCCGTATACAGAAGGTATGAAAAAGTACTCTTATGCATGGGGAGTCAACTTCACAAGCCACGTACATTACATGTAAGCTGTTCCAGGGAGCACATTAAACATGCACAGTGAGAGGCGAAGTCGTCATTGAACTTCAAATATCAGGCCCTGGTAGTACAAACGTTAGATAGCGCTATCGACGGGATAAACCACTATCCAGTGGATAAGTATTAAGGAGACCGATTGCGTTATTCACCGAATTTATCCAGTGGATATAGGGTTATCCACCCTTTGAACAACTGGGGCGTGTTTACATGGAAAACGTCTAGTGGCTCCCTTGAAATTCTAGAGTGACATCATCTCCAATGAGAACAAACGGTGCCCAGTACTTCACGTCGCTGAACTCGTCCGATTCTCTCATGAACTTCATGGCTTGATTCAGAGATTTACTTGCACTCTTTCCTTCCGCTAAATGCTGATAGAAATATTTCATGAACTCCAGTGTGGCCTTGTCGTCAATGGCCCAAAGTGACACCAGAACGGAACGAGCACCAGCTCCAAGAAACGCTCGTGCAATGCCGACCACACCCTCTGCCTTGATCTCCCCACGACCACTGTGACAACAACTTAGAACAACTAGTCTTGCTCGCAGCCTGACATTCAACACATCGCTTATTGTTAGAAGAAAGTCTTCGTCGCTGGGCTTCTCAGATGCTCGTGTAGGATTTGGTGACAGCGCAATCTCTCCTGTTTCCATTCGACCATGAGCTGCGATGTGAACTAGTGCAACATTGGAGAGCTGTTTAAGCACTTCAGCCTTCGTCGCCTCTTTGCCAGTGAGGGGTGTAGTATGAAGAATCTCAGCAATCAACTCCACTTCCCTCCTTGCACACGGGAGTTGCTTTAGTTTAACTTCCTCTACCCAAGGATCTCCTACGAGCAGAGCACCGTTCTTTGCGTGGTAATCTGCTGGACAATCCAAGATCATTTTCAAACTGAGCAGAGAGGGAATAAAACGAATTCGAAATGATTCACTAAGGTATCTCGAATTCGGGTCCTTGAACGCAGCATAGGGGGCCAACCATAAGGGACCTTCAGGCACTACGATCAGCTCATCGCCATGAATTAAATCAATGATCGGACTTATAGTCAACTCATACAATGTTCTGAAAGGATTATCCTGATTGGGCAATGCAGCCGGACGCCTCTGAACACACCCTTCACTTTCCTCTTCGTTGTTTCGTAACCTGTCCAGTGACCGATCCTCGCACTGTGCGCCGTCTCTCACGCCAATCTTCTCACGAGCAACTTCTAGCATCGATTGTACATCGTATTCAATCGATAGTTTCCTTAGACAAACACTCTCTTTTCGCAACACCCAAAAGCAATTGAGGTGGCTGTATGTGGCTGTAAAAACTACAACTGATGAAATGCAGCTCAGTATGTCATCTTTTGACATTTCCTGCGTTGTGCGTCTACCATTAGCAGTTTTCAAGCCATAATTCGATTCCATGAGGTCTTTTAACGCTTGTGCGCGTCCTTGCTCAGCAGCAACTAGTCCCTCCGTGATCTTGTCTTGATCAATGAGAACTCTCCACAAACCTGCATAAACCATTTTATGAACGTCTCTCAGGCCAATTTTCCACTCATCGTTTGATAGGAGACGCGTTCTCATATCATTAAGGATTTTTACGCTGGATTCAATATAATGAAGAGCCTTACAAAGAGAATCCATTTTCTTAAAGACACTTCCGACATTAAAATTACCGATTGCTTGTCCTATTTCATCTCCAACCTCAATGGCAATTTTCCTCTGACATTCATGATACTGTAAAGCTCTTTCGCAATCACCTTGCGCGAGGTATGTTTTGCCAATGTTGCCATACGCATATCCTTCGCAAGCTTTATCTTCTACTTCCTTAGCAACTTCAAGGCAAAGTTTATTATATTCAAGTGCTTTTTCTAAGTCTCCAAGATCAGTATAAGCGAGTCCAAGATTGCCATAAGCCCGTCCCTCCCCAGGCCTGTCTCCCACTTTTCTGCATATTTCAAGATTTCTGTTGTGGTTTTCTATTGCTTTTTTGAAATCTTTCATATGACGGTAAACAATACCGAGGTTAGCGTAGACTCCTCCTTCCATAGCCTTTGCTTTAATTTCTTTAGCGATTTTTAAATTCCGTTCGTAGTAGTGTTTAGCTTTTTGCAGGTTTCCAAGGCTTCTGTAATCGTTCCCAAGATTACAATAAACTACCGCTTCTTCCTCTCTATCTCTTCGTTCTTTGACAATTTCTAGCTGGCGCTCGTGGTTTTCAATTGCTTCTTTCAAGAATCCGAGCTTGTAATAAACATTACCAAGACTACCATATGCGACTTCTTCTCCTTTCGTGTCTCCTGATTCTTTTACAAGGTTTAATAGTTGGGTGTGGAAGACCAAGGCCTGCTTAAAGTTACCTAGGTGGAGACATGTATTTCCAAGATTACAATACGAAGTTCTTTCGAGTTTCTTGTCACTGAGATCTTGAGCAATTTGTAACTGGAGTTCAAAGAACTCCATAGCTGCTTTGAAACGACCGAGATTGTCATGTGCCAGACCAAGACCATCATAGGCAGAAGCTTCTCTAGATTTGTCCCCAGTCTCTTTGGCAATTTCCAGGCATAGTTCAAAGTCCTTTATTGCAGCCTTAAAATTTCCAAGCCTCAAGTGTAATACACCGATAGTTTCCAACGCCCGTCCTTCTCCGGGTCTGTCGCCTTTTTCTTTTGCAAAGCTAAGATGCTGCTTAAACCATTCCATACTTTTCTTTGAATCACCAAGATCGAGGTATGCATTTCCAATATCACTGTATGCGTTGCCTTGGCTTGTCGTGTCCCCTAATTGAGCCAGACTACGTTGTCGGTAGATCACAGCTTTTTCAAAGTCACGAGTTTTAAGACAAGCGTTGCTGAGAATTAAACAAACGATTCCTTCCTCAGATCTTTCTACTGGTGACTTACTATCATTCAGATAGAGTTCACAAAATTGTATCGCCCGCTCGGAATCCTTGCTACGGTAATAAGCTGATGCAAGTTTGAGGTATGCGTTGCGTTCAGCAGTTCTGTCTCCTATTTCTTTAGAAGCTTTAAGACGCAGTTCTTGGTAATGAATCTCCCATTTGTAATCTCCAGTTTTTGAATAAGTTTCACTAAGAATTTTATACATGTTTGCCTTTTTAGCAACATCTCCCTTTTCCTCGATAATTTGTAAACCAATTTGATAGTTGTTTATGGCCTTCTTGAAATTTTTAAGTTTAAAATGCGCATCACCAAGACATGTATAAATGTAAACTTTAAAATCCTTATAGTCTGTCTCTTCTATACAATTCATGGAGAGTTCATAGAATTCTATAGCTTTCTTATAATCTTTCATGTAGAAATAGCAGCTAGCAAGATTTGCATATGCCACTCCTTCTTGAACTCTTTCTCCCAGGTCTTGAGCAATTTTAAGACACGATGCAAACAAATACATGGCCTCCTTGTAATGTCCGGATTTATATCGAGCGTCTGCTTTGTTATGAAAAAGTTGATACATTTCCTCGTATTCCTCGCGTTCCACACAAAACAACGGATCTACAGAAAATGAGAATAGTTTACTTTTTAAATAAAAGTAAATTAAGTGCTCATTTGGCATGACACAAAATTTAAGGCAGCGGATGAAAAGCTAACAGTTCAGTGTAAGATTGGCCGTTGTTAGCCTGGAGGAGAAAAGCTGCAATGTTTAGTTTCGTGGATTATTTGTAAGGAACTAGGCTACGGTCGGTTATGCCATTTTCAATGTTTTTGCCTTTTTTCTTTAGCTAACAACTAAACGTTGAAAGAAGTATTTCTCCTAGCAATTCTGTGATCTTTTAGTAAGTGCTAAAACGGCCTTAGAAGTGTCATGTACCTAGCCCCTCCAAATACTCTCTTCAGTAGTCATAGAGGGATGACCTTAACCGGATTTATGCCTTCCCTTTATTAATATGTATAAGTGTCTTCCTGCATACTAATTTAGTGCCTTACTGCATATTAATTATGTGCCTAGTCAGTGTCTACCTAGCTAGGTAAAAATGCGTTCCTCCATACTAATCAAGTGCTTTCCTCCATATATAATTAAGTGGATAGTCGTTTCTTTTCGTATAGAAGAACACAATAGGAACAATAGGGTTGCCTAGACTTGCCCGTTAAGTAACTTTAGCCCGGTTTTCGGACCGTCTGTTGAAAAAAATACGAATAAGAGAAGCGACCACCTAGCAATGCGAGAAACGGCTTACTATGTCTTATTTAGCGCTAAAAATCGATATATAAACAGAACCACACACGCGTACACAAAGTAGAGCTGAAACCTCTTTATTTCAATTTTGTCTCACTATTACATCACCGTTTTCTCCGTTCTATCTCGAGGAAATGAAAAACTATTGAAGTCTTGTCATTTTCACGCGCCGTTAGTCAGTTAATTATGCGAGTTAACAACCCGACATTTGCATACAAATTGCCTCTACAGCTAGACCAAAGGGGCAGTCTTGACATATTATCATAAAAACAAAAACAAAAAAAAACTTAAGAAGGATTAATTGGTGGTGGTAGAGGGAAACAATAGAAATGTGGTGGTGGTGGAAGGAAAATAAAGGAAATGTGGTGGTGGTGGCATACAGTTTCACTATTCACGAAGCTGTGTTGAAAAAAAAGTTGACTCTAGGGTCCATGTAGGGTCCATGTAGAGTCGATATGAGGTAGATGTATTTGTGGGTGGAAAAATGTATAAAGAAATGAGGAGGTGGATGAGGAGGAGGGAAAATGATAAAATTGTGGAGGAGGGAAATCAAGATTGAGGGGGAGGTGGGAAAAGATCAAAATTCTGGAGAAGGCGTCCCCCACCTCCATGTAAACAGGACCATAGTTAGTATGGAGGAACGCATTTTTACCGAGCTAGCTAGACACTGACTAGGCACATAATTAATATGCAGGAAGGCACTAAATTAGTATGCAGGAAGACACTTATAGATATTAAATAAATAAAGAGAAGGCATACGTAAGGCGGGGGAAGGCATAAATCCGGTTAATTTCATCCCTTTATGACTACTCTCTTTTTCCAGGAAGCCAGATTTTGAAAAAAAAAATTGGGCATGGCAAGCTCAATTTTTTTCAAAGTCGCCATTGTAAAATTGTTGCGAGACGTAAATATTGGACGGCAGAAAACAAAAGCAAAAGCAAAAAAACAGGCACTTTGTGTGGTGCTGCATGAAAGATGTGAAATAGTTGAAATGGTTGCGCATCTTCAAGGTACGTGAACGCGTCAGTCATCTCAAGGCTCAATACAAAACCCGGCAAAACGAGGCGAGAGAAGCAAATTATATTTTTAAAAAAACAGACCGTAAATAATATTTAATGCGATTTTTTCGCAAACCCTCGCTGCAATTTTAGTCGCCAAAATGTTTTCTACTCGCCATGGCGACCAAAACGGTGGTAGCTCCGTGCGCCGCGTAAGATCATATAAGATGTAAGGAACCGGTTACGGTGGCTCGTGCGGACAAAACGCTTCCTAGAATCTAAAAACAGTACCCAGTATCCAACCACTTCCCAGAATTTTATTTCTGGGACGTATTTTTGGATTGTTCAGTTGTTGGGCGTGTTTTAGATTCTGGGAAGTGTTTTGTCCTGCGAGTCACCATAACTACGCCAGGCGTTGTCAGAAGCGTCTGCATAAAGAGCGGCAATATGTACACAGTCTTTACTTTCCTCAATCTTTTCGATAATTACTACTGCTTGACTGAATGAACCTTAAAAAGTGCACACCTTCTTTAAAGGATTCTTCTAACTGGGGCTGCAACAGAATGGCAATTCTTGCATCATCGAGTGAGTCCGTAACATTTCCTGGCAATGAAAAACGCAAAGTATAAAGCCAACGAAATCATTACAATGAGAAGGAACCTGTCTCGTAAGGTTTCTTAACTAATACATGTCAAGAACAGCTCCATCCGTTTGCCTTTTATCTACTTCTTTTACATCGTATTTTAAACTCTAAACTCAACCATGAAAACGTGAGGCTGAGGTTGACCTTATTTTGATTCAAACCTCGTTCCTTTTCTTATGGAAATAATAATTAAAAAATACTAGTTAGCATAAAAACAACATGATTTACATAATAACGCAGGAAGGACTGTATCAAAACAAGGTCAACATTAGCCTCGTTTCCACCTGTAACTGTAAAATGGATTATTTTTCTTGTTCTGTTTTTTTGTAATCTTGTTTTACTCTTTTTAATTGCGAGTCTCTGAACACTTCTTTTCCAAGTGATACCTTAAAACCAACGTTACCTCTACATATCTCCTTACCGTAAACTGCCGCTGATAAGCCCCCACCCCCTCCCCAAGTCAAGGGCCCGTGTAACTATAAACATTAAAAAACATCCGATTATACCCCCCCCCCCCTCACCGATATAACCCCACCCCACCTCTTTAATTTCTGTTCCAGAAGTATTGAAATGAATTCGATTTATTATGGCGTTTTGAAGCTTATCAATTAAAAACCAGTAACGCAGAAGGTACCGGTATTTTGATCAGCATCGCTATAGCTTGTTTCCAAGCGCTTTTTCTGTTCCAGTTATAAGCTCCTTGGATATAAGCCCCTCGAATATAAGCCCTTCCGGTTAGGGCCTCCTCAACCCCCTTACGTAGATGTATAAGCCAAGCGCTTATAAGCGGCAGTTTGCGTTATACATGTAATAAAAATCTTTTTGTTTCTTTCTGTAAAGTAGAAATATAACGCGAAAACGCACACAAATCTTACCTATTTGTCTATAAGCTGACGCCCTTTTCCTGTACAGCTTTGCATTTAGCTCATCATCCTTGCATTTCACTTTAATACCTTCTGTGTAGAAATACACGGCGTTGTGGAATTCTCCTTTCTCAAATTCTTTGTTTCCTTCATCATTGTACACCTCTGCTATAGCTGAAATAAAAACGTATGCATTCTCCAGCCCTTATAGATCCTTTTCAATCACGTGGTCAGCAGCTTTGCAAATTGCCTTGAATAAAAGAAAGTTTTAGCATGCGAAAAGAGTTCAATTCCCACAGGATTTTTTTGTACACAAACATGGCCGCCGATTCATTGCTTTGTACACAAATTTGGCCGGCGTGACGTCATGTGAAAACGATCTTTTCACCAAGCAAAAATACTCTGATTTAATAGTGGCAAGCAGATCAATTATTTGCCTCAGCATTCGGCCTCGGCAAATAATTAATCTACGAGTCACTTACAAATCACTATTATTTGCGATAACCAAGTGCAATAATTGTTTTATCATTCCGTCACCGGGTTTGCTTATTAATGAATATCTGCCATTTTGCGCATCATTTCGTGCGGGTTTTATTTAAGCATGAGCAGTATATTATTTACAGCCAAACAATAAGCCAAACACAGCTGGACGACATTGCGCATGAGCAGACCATTATATTTAGGCAGTTATTTGCAGGTCACGTGCTAGGCTCTCGGCCAATGAAAAGGAAGAAAAATTTGAATCGAATGATAAAGTTTCTCATTAATAGGCAACAAACACACGCAAAGAGGGGTCACCCTACGACCCAGTGTTTGCAAATACGTCAAAAGTGACTCAAATGGGATTTTTTTGTATGCTTTTCAGGCCTGTTTGGTACATTTGGAGCTGCCCTCAAGACTATTTATCTATTCAGATGTCTTAAGGGGACTATGGTCGTCTCCAAAGTTTTCGGTGGCTTTTTCGTCTCATTCGAAACCAACTGAGAATAATCAGGTCCCTTGTCGAAAGTGTCAGCTGCCCCGATAGGTCTGATCTAACGTTTGAGGGCACGGAGTGGGCGAACTTTCATTACAAGATCTGGAGGACGTTTTGTATCTATACCGAAACTTTTAGGAGAACTTTTTATCGCAATAACTTTGGTAATAAAAATGAAAAATCATCCTCCGTAAACCTTACGTATATATTTAGCAGAAAAACTCCGAATATCTTAGACGAATGGCACGCTTATCACAATCACGCTTTTCAGAAAAAAGTCGTTTGGTGACCATGAAAGTAAAAGGGGAAAAGGTGGACTGAAAACAGTCTAGTCATAATTATGCACTCCAAAATGATTCGTTCATCAACACTGGAATTGAATCGAACACGTGATAACGTAGAGTGCTCCACAGCCGTTCTTTGTGTCGTCAGGCAACACTCCTCCCCAGGAGCGTTGTGTGACGACACAAAGAAGGGCTCGAAGTAGACCGCCAGTGGTACACACACACTCAACAGTGAAACTAATCAAGCAAGTGTTATGTTAAAATTTAATTTCTAAGGTTAATTGATCTTTTACAACGCTTGGGATCTCAATTTAAAAATATCGTTGGTTACCTCGTAGAGTAGCATCATCAAACTCCAGTTTTTCTTCTGCAGGTGATATGCCGTCACTCGGCGCCTTTTCGACTTGCCTCGAAGCCATGAGGCCAAGGATCTCGCGGATAGTCGTCAACTTGATTCTGTCAGAGGCGAGCAAATTATGTTGCATTATTGCAATATTAAAGTTATACTTGTACAATAACATTTCTAAACGATTTTTTTAAGAAAATATTTTGATGAGGAGAGAACATAACAACGTGAATCAGAAAAACAAACAGAAAGAGCTTCGACAAATTCCAAAAATATCCCCCTTCCTCGAAAAAAAACCCCGAAAAACAAATTAGGGCCAATAACAACCCTCCATACTTAGCACCACCCAATATAAGGCCTTGAGGGTTTATTTTTGGGAATTTCCCTCAAATAATATATCGTTGCTCAACACCTTCTTGGAACTGGACAGGACATGAGCTTTCACGCATTTGGGGGGATTTCCATAAATTTTGAGTTACCGAATACGTTACAGTGTAACCTCACGTGTGCGGTATCTTCCTTTCAGTAAATTTTTAAAGTCCAATAAGTTTGAAGGAGAGTTTGTCAATTCTGTTTCCCCGGATTTCTAGTTAATGCCCTTTATACTTCACCATATAGATACACACACACGAAAAAACTGCTGATTCAAATCCCTCCAGGCAGGAAAGCTCAGCCGATTTACTTTTGATAATTTACTCTTCTCTCGCGTGCAAAAGCTCCCCCCCCGCTTATCTCAGGGTCTGAGTGACCGGCCCCCCCTCCTTATCTGAAAGGTCTTGATCCGCGACTGTATATGTTCAAATGCGTTTTTAGTTTTCGATACCTTATTTCTGGAAAGAGCTATTCAAAATCAATACGAATTTCTTTAACAATTGGGTCCGCAATTTAAGCGCCGTTTAAATATCACTGCTGCGAGAATCATGTGATGTTGCTATTCAAGGGCAAAGCTACGACAAGCTGATATTTGTGACAACCGCAAAACGCAAAATACAAAGACGGTGTCAATAATATAAAGTTTATCACTCGGCTGGGCCCGTGATCTCCGTGATGCTTTCGGCTAATCCTTCTAGTTTGTTAAACTACACATAGAATGGAACCGGCTCGATATAACGAAACTATTTCCTCTGTTTTTCTCCCCAGTAATAATGAGCCTCTGCATTGGTATTTCCGAGAAATCGAAGTAGCGACGAACGCATTACTATCTCGATCACGTTTCACAACGTTTTTAATAGTCCTGCAATAATGCCAAAAAAATCTACCAAAACGTCTGCTACACGTTCAGAGGTTTCTTTTTGCTTATTTTCTCGTCTCCGTCGTCGTTGTGGTTGCACTGAGCTCGCTATTAGCGTTACCACGCAAAACAATTGTTGATATCAGGGTTATATGCGACGATATCGCCTGAAAAACCGACGATATGCAGTGTAATGGAAAATGCGCGACGAAATCGACGTCCGCAGGTACCATACAGAGGCTTAATAATAGATTATACGGAAAAGAATCTCGATATACGAAGCCACGTTCTACTGCCAGTCCGTTGGCCCTTCGTTATAACGAGGGTCCACCGCAAACACTGCATTAAACAAGATCCTTATTCTTACCTCTGACGGGCAAAATCGGACTTCAACAAAACGTCTTGGGGAGATAAAATTTAACAGTTCAGGACCTGTTAAAGCAAACCTGTTCCAAATGATCCAAGTTTACGTAGAGTAAGCTCAACAACACCTTTAAATAATTAACACAGGCGGTGATAAAGGAAGTTCTCTTTTCCGAGAATTGTCAACGTCTTGTTAATTCTTACCAGTAGCATGGACGATACATGTGAGGCTTAACCAATAAGAGAGCAGTATTTAGATTGCATATTTATACCAGGTCAACAGGACAATGTAAGTCATGTGATAACACTCTAGATTTCGTTTTGTTACCGTGGATATGTAAGCATAATTTAAAAAAAGACAAGAGGTAAAATTCCCTTGAGATCTTTATTAAGAAAACAAAACATACAAGCTAAAGCTATAGTTTGTTTTAAAGATAACGTCACAAACCACTAGTTGATCACCTCATCGAACTCTTAGTTACCGTATTTCCTCGAATAATGGCGATTAAGACGGAATTCACCAGGACATTGAGTAATTTTAACTTTCAGTGGACAAAAATCTTGTACCAGAATAATTTAAAGCATATTGCATTCTTTCTTACATTTTTCAAGCACGAAAGGTGTAATAAATTATCTGTAATATATAGATTTAGCCAGGGCTAAAAAGCGAAGCTCCTATTAATAAATATATAAATTAAATCAAACAATAAACTTGTAATCCACAAATCAGTTAACTTTAGGGCACATTCATGTGGCTTTTGAGGGAAAAGCTAAGTGATTTTAGAGTGAAACATCTCACATCGAGTTAACTTATACGTTCACCCAAAAAAAGCAATCATCTTCGATCACATTCAAGAGCCATTATAACGGCTCTTGATCAAAGTAAATTAGGCCTGGAAAACAAGTCAGGCCCCTTTTGCGTTCGATAAGTTTACTTTACAAAATCTTGCCAACAAATCTGGAGGTGTATAAACCAACCTTTTATACATCACATCTGAGGTGAAACAGTACTATGAGGCGCTGTATTTATCATACAGACCTCGGACAGAATGCAGTATTTCACTGTTTTTCAAGACAAATTGCACTCAGTCAATATTCAGGAAGATCAATCGTTGGCTTTTAGCGAAACCGTTCAAAAAATTTCCAAAATCACCTATACGGCCAGCCGGTTCTCACTTTTGACAAAGCGGTCGAGTGTGTGAATGAACATTAATAGAGTTACGCTTCAACATAATAACGAATTTATTATGTTAATTTTTTTAAATTTAATGGCTTTATAACGATGTGCAATCTTGAAAAGCGTTTGATATGCGCGACATTTTGAGTACTCCTGCAACCGACGTTCATGAAAGACTGAAAACAAACGGCACAGCGATTAAAATTGCAAAAGAGACTTCTATAAAGTGTCTCTAAAAATCCTGAGTCTTGAAGTTTATGTTTTAAGTCGGCTTCCCGGTGTTTGCTTTTTTCAAAGATGAACTCGAGGCAAGAAAATCGCTCAAAGTTTTCTTTCTACGGACAAATTTATAACTAAATATTCTTCGGAACGTTTTCTTTCTATTTGCGGTGAGAAAACACATCTAAAGGCTTTTTAAAGTTCTGTAAGCTTCAATCAAACCTGATACTAGGTCAGATCATTGTCTCAAATCTTAATCTTAGAAACGTGCATAATTAACTTGCCGCATAAACTGTGCTCGACTTCATGAGGTTAGATATAAAAAAACAAACATCAGATACAATAATTACTTAGGCTTACCATTCGAAATGCAGCTCCTGAAAGCTATCAAGTAAGGCCGGAATCGCTTGAGACTTTTAAACTCCTCTTGCGTATCAAGCAAGGTCAAAAACGAAAACGATGCCATCCGAAATCGGATTTCCGACTTTGACAAGCGACGCATTTTTCAACCAAAAACCCAATAAACAAACCAGCCATGAACAACAGAAGACTCTCGATAGCAGCTGTATTTCATTTTGTACATCC